TCACATAGACACACACGCACACACTTTCGCTCTCTCTCTTTGTTGCACACACACACACCCTTACACATGCATACACACTACAACTCTTCCCGTCAACCCGCCAGGTACTTCATGGCCCTCCTGAAGCGCGCTGCGGTGCGCCACTGCGGCGGCCGGCTGGTGGCGGTGCATGAGGGCGGCTACAGCGACGTGTACGTGCCGTTCTGCGGCCTGGCGGCGATAGAGGCGCTGGCGGGGCTGCGGTCAAAGGTGGGTGTGTGTATGTGTTGTTTTTGGGGGGGGGCTGGTGACCGCCGCGTCCGCACGGCGAGCGGCGGTAGGGGCGCTGGCGGGGCCGCGGTCAAAGGTGTGTGTGTGTGTGTGTGTGTGTGTGTGCATGCGTGCGTGTGTGTGTGTGTTAGACCCTCTGGCACACACAAACACCCTTTCTCACACGCACACGCATGCCGACATTCCAAATCCGGCAGGTCTCGGACCCATACCTCGAGGACGTGCAGGGCTTTGGCTGGCAGGCTTTGCAGCCGCATCAGGACGCGGTCCTGCGGCGCTGCGAGGCCCATGTCGCGCGCTTGGCCACGCGACTGGCCGCCAGCGGCAGCGCGAGCGGCGGCGGCGGGAGCAGCAGCGGCGGCAACGGCAGCGGCAGCAGCGCAGCGGCGGCGCGGCGGTAGCGCCCCACGCGGCGGCGGCGGCGGGGGCGGTTGCGCAATCAGCCTGCTGTTTGCTAGCTGGCGAGGCGGCCCCTTGCAGCCCGCGGGGGCACCAGGAGGCGGCGCTGCGGCGCTGCCGGGCCTGCGCTGGTGCGTCGCATCGCACGTTGCGCCATGCCGTGCGCCCGGCGGCGTCGGCTCAACAGCAGCGGCGGCAGCCTGAGGAGCAGCAGCAGTGGCAGCTGCCCAGCAGCAGCGGTAGCGGCCCAGCAGCAGCTGCCCAGCAGCAGCGGTAGCGGCCCAGCAGCAGCTGCCCAGCAGCAGCGGTAGCGGCCCAACAGCAGCTGCCCAGCAGCAGCAGAAGCGGCAGGAGCACAGCACGCCTCCCCACCCTGCTCGGAGCCGCCGGGCGCGGCACCTCATACAGGCGCCGCTGCGCCAGCGGCGACGGCCGCCTCGACGGCGGCGACCCCAGCTGCCGCCATCTGCGGGCGGCGGCGGCGGGCGGCCGCTTTGCATTAGGGCTACGGCTCGCTCCGCCTCAGCGGTCACCCCGCCCTCCCCGCACGCGCGTGCTTGCGGGGGCGGCGGGGCCGCGCGCGGCACGGGCGGTGGGGCGGTCGGGCCAGCCTAGTCTTCTAGTTCATTGTCCATCAGATTCGTTGGAGCATCGGGATTCAACGGCCCCGCCCACCCACACTGGGGCGGATGCCCCTTGGAAACGGGGTCGGGATTGGCCCCTTTTCCCCAGCAGAGGGGCTCGGACCGCTGGGCTGCTTGCGCCATAGGGAGAGAGCGAGAGACAGACAGAGAGTTAGCGACTTGAGAGCCGCACACACAAACACACGCGCGCACGCACGCGCACGCGCGCACGCCGAGCCGTCGCAGCCGCACGCGCGGGGCAAGCACGGCGTCGACGCCTGTGCCCCAAGCGCTCCGGCCTTTTGGTGCGAGCGAGGCGGCCGCGCCCCTCCCTCCCTCACTACACGCGCTCTCGCGCCCCCTGTGCACCCCCCCCTCTCCCTCGCCGCTCGGGCGCCGGCGGCCCCAAGAGGGCGGCTTGCGCATTCCCCCGCGCCCCCTGGCTCGCGGCGCCGCGTGGCGCGGCGCGGCGCGGCCCGTCAGGGGCTTCGGTGTGTGTAGCGAGGCGGCGCGGGGTTTGGTGGCGATGTTGATTGCATTGATATGGGCCCCCACCACGGCGGCCGATTTCTTACCGGTGCAAACGGTGTCATGCCCAACCCCGGCCCCAGCACTCTCAACGGCAGCTGTGCAGCGGTTTTCGCACCACGCGCCCCGCGTGCAGCGCCGCTGAGACGGCTGCCACCCCCGCAGCAACAGCAGCGGCAGTAGTAGCAGGGGCAGCAGGGGCAGCTGCAGGAGCAGCACTCGGACTGGTCGTGCATTTCGTGGAGGGAAGAGGGGGGAATGAGCATCGTGGGCGTTGCCGGGCAAGTTGACGTTGTTGGGAGGCGGTGGGAAGCTTTATTCATGCTGGGCCCGTTGGTTGCAAGGCCGCAACTGGGCTACGAGGAGGGGCGCGCAGCTGCGCGGCATGTGCGCGCGCTGGTGTGTGCGCGCTCCTGGACAGCCCTGTGGTGGGCCGGGTGCGCTGCGGTGCCTCGGGCGGCGCCAACCTGGCGTCACCCGGCCTGGGAACCTGGCGCCAGCCGTGCTGCTGGGCGGCTGCGTGGCAGATGGTGCCACCAGTGCCAGTAGACCGCGTGGCAGGCCTAATATGGGTCGTGATAATGTTTGTCGACACTTGAGCAATTGATTGACAGCAGCAGCGCGGCCAGTGAGCTTGAAAAGCCCTCTTCTGATTTGACAAGCCGGGTTCCATAACAAGATCGACGGCCCGTAATAAATTAGAGCACAAAACAAGCGTCGTTTTCTGCTGAAAGTGCACATTCAAACGCTTCAGAGAAGGTGGGTCCTCCGCACCCTCCGCAAGCGCCCCTGGCGGCCCCCACTTAGAGCGAGCGACGCTTAAATACCATTAAAAGGTCCTTAATATTCCGTTACGACCCCCAGCTGCCGCATGCAGCGCTCTCCAGCTGGCTCGCCCGGCAGACACCACAGCCGCTGCACAGCCGCTGCCTCGGGCGCGCTCACCCGCCGCCTCAGGCGCGCGCGCATACGCGAAACCTCGCATCCTCCCACCTCCGCCGCCATTCTCCTCGCAGAGTGCGCATCCGACCGCTGCCTGTGGGCGTAGAACACTAGCTCTACTCGCACGGGCAACGCCACCAGTCAAAACAGCCAGGCATGCAGCCGCGCCCGGGCGCCGGCTGGGGCCTCGAGGCGCGCCCCGCGCCGGCGGCGGGTGGTGGTGACGGCGGGGACTACCCTTCAATCAACTGGGCGGCCGGCGCCGAGCCCCCGCGCGCCTCGGGCGGCGGCGGCGGCGCTGCCCCTGCCGCCAGCGGCGGCAACAGCAGCGCAGCGGGCGGCTACTGGGCCGCTAATCCGTTTACCGGGGCTGGAGCGAGCGGGGGCGGCGAGGCGGCGGCGCCGCGCCAGGGCCAGGTGGCGCAGCAGTCGGCCGGCAGCTTCCCTTTTGGCGACAGCAACCCCTTCCTGTCTTCCCCGCGGCCCCGCTCCCCCCCGCGCCGCGGCGGCGCCGGAAGCGGCAGCAGCGGCGGCAGCGGCGGCGGCTTTGGCTTCGGCGCGCTTTTCGGCGCCCCCCTGCATTGGTCGCAGGACGGCGGCGCCCACAGCCGCACGCCAAGCGGCGCCGGCGCGCCCGGCGTGGATGCGCCGGGCCCCGACGCCTACCCCGACCCGCGGCGCCGCGACGACGTGACCCCGCCCGCGCAGCGGCCGCCGCCTGTGGCGAGGGTGGAGGGGCCGAGGGTCGTGATCACGCCCGCCGCGGCCGCGGCGCCGCCGGCGGCGCCAGCGACGCCCCAACCGCAGCAGCAGCTGTGGCAGGATCAAGAATACAAAGGCGCGGCGGCGCCGCCGCCTGATGCATACCCGACCGTCGACCCGCGGCGCGGCGCCGAGGTGCCCGCGCAGCCGGGGCGCGGCAAGCAGGGGTCGGCCTCGGGCGGCGGCGGCGGCGGCGACGGCATGGGCGGCTGGCGGCCGTCCCCCTTCCAGGTGTGCACCCCCTCACACACACAGCCACACACCAACCCCCTCGCAGCCCCTTCCCCTGCCCGCCCCCGCGCCCGGATCTGGCAGCCTCCGGCTAGCCAAGCTCCTCCCTGTCTGCCAAACTCGGAAGCTTCGTAGATGCCTTCTCACCTGCCCCAACGTCCCTCAGGCGCCCCCCTCTTCTCCCTCCTAACCCCGCCGCCGCCCTCAACCCCCGGCGCCCGCTGGGGCCGCCAACCGCCGCTGCAAACCGCGCCGGGACGCCCCCTTGACGCTGCCGCCACTCAAACCCCCTCGCACACGCACGCGTGCGCTCTAACAAATGCAGGTCGCGGCGACGGTGGCGGGGCGTGGCGCGCCGCGCGCGATTTGGGCGCCCAAAAAGGCGCCAAACCCCTTCCGCACCACATTCAGCCCCGTGGCATTTGTCATCTTTTTGGCGTTCCTGGCGGCCACGGGTTACTATTACTACGTGCGCGTGAAGTTCACGCTCGACATGGGGCGCAACACCTGGTGCGCGGG